CTAAATCGACCCCTGAATCGAGAACGTGGCTCGGTCATGAGGACTTAGCCACCTTGCCAAAAATCAAGGAACGAGAGGTGCTATCGATCCAAGACTCGATTGAATTCAAATTGAGTCCCAAATCGAGCACTCCTCTCGATCCAAGCCATTATGGGCATGAGATCGAGTCCTAGATCGACCAAATGGACTCGATCTCGTGCCTAGGTAACAAATTCTTTTCCCTCTTTTCTGTTTTCTATCCAGTTTTTAAATTTAAAAAATGGTCAAGGCAAGCATCTTTGACCATGAAAGATGTGCCTTGACCACAACTTTTGTCAGAAAACCACCTCTTTTACCCATGATTTTGTAAAATCGTTAGCCTTTATATTTTTTTTAAGCTCTCTCACACTCTCCCATTTCTGTTTTCGCGAGTTCTCAAGCAAAAGAGAGTGTGAATTTTTATTTCCTAAAGGCTAACAGCATACTCTTTCAATCTTAGCAAAGGTATTTTCGAATCTTTAAGAAAATCTTCAAGAAAATTTCCTTTTAATTCGCTTTTATTGTTTTAGATGCTAGGGCGGTTTAAATGTTTTTAAAAACTAGCTTGATATCAGGAAAAATTCTAGATTTAACTGTATCTCTAGATCTGATTCTCTGTTATCTTGCTAGGATTTTTATAAATTCCCCAAAATTCTAGGGTATTAGTTACAAGATTTCCTTCTTGCTTGTCTCTTTCTCGATTTTTCGCTGCCTTGCTCATTCTCTTGTTTGAGAATCTTGTTTCAGGCACCATGGCTCCTAAAAGTACGAGAGAAGAGACGGCACAAGAGGGAGAAGGACAAGAAGTGGTTGTTCGAGAGAGGGTCCGTTGGTCTAAAGAGGAGAAACGAGAAAAAGAGCGGATTCAAAGGCTGAAGTTCGAGCCAACAGAATTTGCAGACAGAGGTTTGCTGTCTAAGATGGGGATTTTGGGGGATTTTGATCAACTCCTCCAGAAGATTGGGCTGAGGTGTTTGTCACGGATGGATTGCCTAACCTTTCCTGAAGTGACAATCGACTTCCTTGCCACTTTGGAGTTTGCGTACGAGAACCCTAGCGTCCCAACTCCTTCTCAAGGCCACCTCTCTTTCAAGATCAAACGTCAAGCCTTCAGCCTCTCAATCCCCGAGCTTTGTCAAACTTATGGCCTCGATGCTGCTGCCACGAAGGTTGAGTTTCCCTCCTTCACTCAAGCAAACGATCTTTGGGACCTCATAGCCAATGATGACTACAAGGCGAATACCGCGAAGATCAAGAGGGTGAGGAATCCGGTGCTGTGTTACACGCTGAAACTGATCGCCAACACATTCAGTGGACGGTCAGTAGCCCCTACAGTCACCAAGACGGAGCTTTGCTTCTTGTTCCAGGGCGTTAAGCATCTCGTTCGTAACCCCGACGAGAACGATGAGCCTTTAGAAGATCATCTAGGAGACGACGTGAACTACGGATGTATCCTAGCTGCTTCATTGGTGAAATACAAGGCGTATGCCTTGAGATGCAAGGCAAGCTAGTCGCTTATTGGAGGCTTTCTCACACCTTTGTTCGTGCAAGCTGGCATACCGCTTCAAGAATTCACTCTTACTCCGGAAAGGGCTTTCATGGATGAGATATACCTAAGGAACACGGACAGCTTGGGACGCATGCCAGCTGAGGGCTTCTTTACGTATCTGTTCATTGGTGAGGAGAATGAGAAGAGGGTGTGTATCCTGCCAAACAAGGACGAAACAGAGCTGTTGGGAGTTGGGAACATAGAGTTTCTCCCAAGCGTAGAGGAGTGCTTTGCTCCTCTAGGAGCCACAGCCGCCATTCAACAAGCCACTCGCCCAAGATCAGAGTCCCCTGCCACGGATGACGAGATCCCCGAAGCCTTTGTCCTCCCCAAGATTGATTTTGAGCCGTGGCCGAAGACAGAAAAGTTCTTTGCTTCTGTTGTGGAGATGCAAAGGAAGATCAACAAATGGCAAAGCAAGGTCATCAAGAAGCTTGCCAAGAAAGTCAAGGCACTTCAAGGGAACTTGCCCGCAAAGTCTAAGGAGTCCATGAGTGTAGAGGTCAACTAGCCCAAGAAGAGGAGGAGATCAACTGGCGGCATTGTCATCCGTGAGCCACAAGGCAGCGCGCAACAAGCAAGTCATTCCGTCCATGGCTTCCCGACCGAGGACAAAGGCAAGGACATAGCCCGACACTCCTCCAGCAAGAGCAGCTCCGCTGGAACATCCTCAAGTTCCATACGAGTTTAGCTCCAAGGTACCAACAACCTTCCCTTGTATATACCGCTCATATTTTCTTTGTTTTTGCTTTGTGTTTTTGAACTCTCTCGAATTTGTTTGCCACCGAGACAGTGTCATTCAAGTTTGGGGGAGTATGTGTGTGGTTTGACATGTTTATTTTGCTCTTATTTTCTATTTGCATCCCTTGAGTCTTGCATTACATCTCATTGCATCTAAGGCATAGAAAAGAACAAAAAAATTGGTAAAATTTTTTAAATTTTTCAAAAAACATTCATGTAGTTGCATTCATTTTGTAAGCATTTTAGGATTGAGTCTAGAATTTTTAAGCATCTAGGTTGTTTACATTTGCATAAGGGGTTAAAGTTTTCTTAAAAAAGTGTTTTAAACTCATGAATTGTTTCAATGCCCTAGTTAGTAATTGTTTGATGCTTTTCTCACGCTTTGAAAGTAAGTTCTTACCATGCTTGGATCACTTGTTTTGATTTTCGTGACTTGACTTGAACATTCATGATTTGAAACTTGTCCTAATAAGTGAGAACCCTAATCTGACATTTAAATATCATTCTTATGCATTTGAAAATGAACACATGGATCTTATGCATATTTAGGCTCTCTTCCTCCTTTTACCACTCTTTGTGAGCCTATGTAGAACTCCCACCATTACCCCTACCTTTCCTTCAAGCCAAGTATTCTTGTGCGATATCATTGTGAGGCCTCTTTTCGGTTTGAACTTAGCATAATGTGTTACGTTTAGGCGACATGATTAGGTTCTCATTTGATTCCTAGCTTTGCATTTTGAAGCTAGTTTTAGGTTTATGATAGGTTTGGGGGGTTCATAAGGGGTGTTGATATGCTTTCGGTTTCAAAAAGTCTTGGTAATTGAAGTGAATAAAAGGTTTTAAGTGAAAGGCTTTGTTTTCAAAATGTATAAAGCTCTAAGTATTTCAGAAGATAGCTCTCTCAAAAAAAAAAAAAAATTAGAGCCTAAGTGCCAAATAAAAAGAAAAGAAAAGAAAAAAAAAGAAAAGAAAGAAAAGAGTAGGAAGTTATCAATAAGAAAAAAAAATAAAGAGCTAAAATATTTTCAGCCTTTTCACTAGCTTAAAGAGTAAAGATGTTTTCGGTTTTGATTTGGGGTTTGCTAAGCTAAAACTTTGTTGATAAGAGTAGCATCTAAGAGGGTGAGTGAGCTTAAAATAAAAGAAATGAGAGGGGTTTTAGGATGATTGATTAGCGTATGGGTAGATGATAATCTGATCATGTATGCATCAATTGCCTTTACCTTTAGCATTACGCATAAAGTTCATACCATTCTTGAGAGAAACCCATTGCATTGTGAAAACCCTTTTAAAATGAGATCATTCTATGCTCATAGCCTTCACCCTTAGCCAAATGTGTTCTGCTTTAAAGTGCATAAGTCTGATTCACGGTTTGATCATTAATGAATGTTAAAGGATGAGATTCTTTGATTGTTTGGAATAGGAGAGTCATGATTTGAAATTCATTGTGTGATGAGTATGGCTAAGTTCTTTGGAGTATGAGTGTGTGCATTGCATCTTAGAATTAATAACTAGGACATTGAGATCGATTCATTTGAAAGACACCTTTGCAAGAAGATTAAACCCCCATTTTTAAAACCTCTTTCCCTTCTTGAATTTTGTTTGTTTGAGGGCAAGCAAAAGGCAAGTTTGGGGGAGTTGATATTGCTACATATTTCATGTGTTTTGCATACATATAAGATAGTTTCTCATACATTTACCTTGCATATTCGGCTAGTTTGCATCACTTTAGGTCCTAGAGCACTTTTGCATCAACATTTGCATGTTTCTTGCATTATGCATCACATTCAGGTTGTTTTCGGCTACTTTAGAGCTTTGGAAGATTCATGGACATGCTAAGGCTCGTGAGGAAGTTCGTGGACACTTCGAGAAATCAGGATTACATGCTAAGGTCCCGAGATCGAGTAGCTGATCGAGCATGGCAGGTCAATCTAGACGAGATCGACCAAAAGATCGAGTGACCCGTGTCGATGCAAAGAGACTGTTAGAGAGGACGATCGATTGAAGAGATTGATCAAGGAGGACGAACGTAAATGACGCCATGCAGAGCGAGAGTCGGATCGAGTCCACCACTCGATCCTTCATAGATCGACTCCAAGATCGGACAAAGCACTCGATCCACCGAAGAAGATCGAGACACAGATCGAGCTGAGGCCGCGATTTCCAGAGACGATCGAGCGAGACGCCTGATCTTGAGGTCTATCCTAGGCTACTTTAACCGTTTTTGGCATCTAGCGAGGGGGGGAGGGACCATCGAGCTGATTGTCCATTTTGGGAAGGCGGCGATCCTGCTTTTTCCACACGCTTTTCACTTCATCTTTTTATCATCTTCTCTCTCGTTTTGAGGCGATTATCTCTGCCATTGTAGAACTTTGAGTTTTCTTACTTTTATGTTTTGAATATTGAATCTTTGCTTTTAATCTGCCGTTTTCATGTTTAGTCTATCATCTGTTGCATTTTGTTCGGTTTACTTTATGAGTAGTGAGTAGTTTCATCGGGTTTTCGGGGTTGAGAGGATTCAAAGGGGTTGAAAAGGTTTAAAGCTTTTCACTCTCGATCAGCACTTCATCGGTTTCACAAGCAGCTAAAGTCTCTTAAGTTCGGGCTGCGACAACTAAACAAGACTCAGTATGGGGACTTGTCAAACCGCACTAAGCAAGCTTACTTTGACTTGTGTGAGAAGCAAAATTAGGTGCTTCTCAATCCCTGCTCTGCTACAGTGAGTGCTGCGAGTGAAGCTTCTGATAAATGGCATCACTTTGCTTCTGCTGAAGAGAAATTTTTCAAACAGCGCTCTTGTATCAAGTGGCTTCAGGTCGGTGATCAGAACTCATCCTTTTATCACAAAGTGGTTACTGATAAGCAGGCAAGAAACAAGATCAAACTATTGATTACAGAATCAGGGGAGGTTCTTACAAAGCTCTTGGATATCAAACACGCTGCCGTAACACACTTCCAAAGGTTCCTCCAGACAACACCGCAGACGGCAGGAAATATTTCGGTCATTGAGCTGCAGAATCTTCTGACCTATAGATGCCCGGATACAGCAGCGGCTGCACTCATAAGACCCATAACAGAATCCGAAACACGAAGCGCACTGCACGCTCTACCCCGAGACAAAGTATCAGGTCCTGATGGTTACACCAAAGAATTCTTCATCTCTGCCTGGTCTGTCATTGGCAAAGACTTTGTGGTAGCAGTGCAATCTTTCTTTCTGTTTGGGTTCATGCCAAAAGGGGTTAACGCTACAATTCTCTCACTCATACCGAAGACACACACTGCGTCTACTATGAAGGATTATCGCCCGATAGCCTGCTGCAACCTCATTTACAAGGTCATTTAAAAAATCTTGGCAAACCGGCTAAAGTGTCTCCTGCCATAAGCCATTGAGCCTAATCAGAGTGCTTTCATCAAGGGTCGACTCTTGTTGGAGAATGTCCTTTTAGCCTCGGAGCTAGTGAACAGCTATCACAAACCATTTGTTTCTGCAAGGTGTGCTGTGAAATTTGATATCTCGAAAGCCTTTGATACGGTGAAGTGGTCCTTTATTACCTCAGTACTCCAGGCTATGAAGCTGCCAGAACAATTCATACGGTGGATCAATGTCTGTATCTCCACAGCAAGTTTCTCGGTATGTGTCAACGGCGAGCTTGAGGGGTTCTTCTCCAGCGGCAGAGGTATACGTCAGGGGTGTTCCCTTTCTCCTTACCTGTATGTGATACTGAATAACGTTCTTTCCAAAATGTTGAATAAGGCGGCTGAGGAAGGAGTTTTCGGGTATCATCCGTTCTGCCAGAAAGTCAAACTCACTCACTTGAGTTTTCCGGATGACATTCTTGTCTTCACAAACGGATCTCCTACATCACTCTATGGGATTCTACGAGTGTTGGAGGACTTTGCCCAATACTCAGGCATGCACATCAACGCAAACAAGTCATCTATCTTCGTAACAGGTCAGGACACTTCAGGGCTCACCATGGCAGCAGAGAATGCAGGTATCACGCTTGGTACCCTCCCTGTACGCTACTTGGGTTTGCCCCTCACAACAAAGGGACTCACCAAATTAGATTTTGAGCCGCTGATCGATAAAGTAAGGAAACGTTTCCTATCATGGACAAATAAATCGCTATCTTTTGCGGGGCGCCTACGGCTAATTAAATCAGTGATCTCTAGCATCACAAATTTCTGGAGTCAGGCTTTCGTTGCCCAAGAACTGTCTTCGCACCATAGAGAGTATGTGCGGCGCTTTCTTATAGTCGGGATCACCTACAGACACGCATAACGTAAAAGTGTCTTGGGAGGATATCTGTTTTCCAAAGGAAGAAGGAGGGCTAGGCCTGCGTAAGCTACAGGATTCATCTCGGGTTTTTGCTCTAAGTTTGATCTGGAGGCTCTTCACGCTTTCGGGTTCTCTGTGGGTTGATTGGATACGATTGTATCTCCTTCGCAATTGATCTTTTTGGGATGCAAAAATTGGGTCGAATGCCTCCTGGATATGGCGCAAACTCCTCAAACTCAGAGATGTTGTGTACCAATTCATGAGGATTGATGTTCACAGTGGAAAGAATGCTTTCTTTTGGTTTGATGATTGGCTGCAGGTTGGAAAACTGATAAAAATTACTGGAGAACATGGCATCAGGCATATGGGGATCCCACGCCAGGCTAAGGTTTGTGATGTTGTTGTCGATGAACGTTGGGCAGTCCATCGCTGTCGAGGCCCATTTATCAGGAGTTACTGGCTAAAATAAATCGCCTACCAGCACCTTCTGTAGATGCAAAAGATGTAGTTCTCTGGAGATATGTAGAGGATGACTATTGGAGTACATTCTCGGCCACTAAAACGTGGGAGCAACTCAGAATATTAAGGCCTCCACTCCCTTGGCATCGTCTCATATGGTTCCCACAAGCAGTCCCAAGGTACGCTTTCATTTCCTGGCTGGCTATTAAGGACCGTCTGGCCACAGGTGTCAGAATGCGAGATTGGAGTATCGTGCAGAACTGCCTACTTTGTGGCGACCAGAATGAATCCAGGGATCACCTCTTATTTGCGTGTCCTTACACATACATGGTATGGACAAGTCTGGGAGGCCGATTGTTGGGACCGGGTGACATGCCAGATTGGACAGACACAATAAGCTACCTCACTAGTGCATCACATAACGAGCAAGATTTGATATTTCTGAAGCTCATGTTCCAAACAACGATTTACCATATATGGAGGGAGAGGAACACTCGGAGACATCAGAACTGTTGGAGTTCTCATCAACAACTCTCGAAGGTTATAGACAAATCAGTAAGAAACAGGATTTTGTCCCTAAACTACAAGTTCCCTCACAAGCATGAAAGTATCCTTCGAAGATAGTTTGAAGTGACCGTGACCTAACATCACACATTGCCTCCAAATCTGGGGTCTTCCATTTTAGGAATTATTCTTTGATATCTCTTTCCCACATGTAAATAGCTATACTCATTCATATCAATAAATTTGACATTTCATCAAAAAAAAAAAAAAAAAAAGGTTTAAAGCTTGGTGTTTTCTTGTTCTTCATCGCCTTCTCTTCTAGGATTTGAGCACTTAAGGCTTAAAGACTCTTACGCCAAGATCTTTATGATCAGAGGGATATCTTACCTTGACAGGATTCAGATGTCCTGGAGAAGTCAAATCCTAGAGGCTAATCCTTCCTTTCCCACACGCCATGGTCGTTTAGGGGATTAGTTAGGCCGTGTGTTTGAAATCTACGTTTTATGCCCTTCAATCTCTTTTTCCACCAAAAGCCATGGGTTTGGAGAAGAGAATGAAGGAGTGATCCATACCACACGCCATGGATGGATTTTGTTTTGTTTTCAAGGCCTAGAGAGTCTCACAAAGTGAGTAGATCTAAAGTTTTCAAACCAAGCTTGAACCTTTGAAACCCTTGAACATGATCCTCAACTCTGGACCCTCTTTCTTAGTATTTTCTCATCTCTGTTAATCATTCGCTTGCTATATGTTCGCATCCTGGTCATTAGATTCATTTCTGTTTGAACTGTTTAGACGAGATCGATCGTTGTTGCTCGATCTAGTGGTCAATCATGTGGTCGATCCACTAGTCGATTTTTAATAATTAGTAGCCTTGAATTTTAAATATTCAGCTTGTTCCTTGTGGTAGTTAACTCTCTTCCAGGGATTTTAAAATTGTTTTGCTTTGGATTTGACACTTGCATCTAGTTTTTAGGGATTTTACCAACCATTTTCATATCTCGCTTAGCTTTGCTCATCCTTTGCATTCTTAGTGATCTTGCTACCCATAGGATTGGATTGATACCTCTCTTGCTCACTATACTACATCTCTGTGTGCATTAGAGCTTTGATAACCTCTCTGTTGCATCTTGACACATCATTGCACTAAGAATCCTGTTATCAATAAGTATCATTAAGCCCTAAGAAAGCATACCTTAGCCCTTTTGGGAGCTCCTTAAGGTCCACCTTTGGGGCTAGCAGCTCGCTCCATTTCTCCTCATGGCTCTTGTTGACGTTTCCATCCTCAGTAGCCTCCTTAGAACCCGAGACATCACCCAAAAGACTGCTTTCTTGAACCGTTGTCCCCTCCGAGATCGAGTCTTCCAGTCGATCTTGCACTCGTTCTGGTCCGGATCAAGTAATTTCACTCGATTCTCCTACTCGATTTGATTGGGATCGAGCAGGAGATCGAGTCCCCGTCTCATTCTCTGAACTGATCGATTGGCTTCCCTCGGTCTTCCCATCGATTGTTTTGCTGGATCGACTGCACTCAGGTCGATCACTTACTCGATTTGATTGGGATCGAGCAGTAGATCGAGCGTCTGAGTCGTTCTCTTCTCTGGATCGACCAGTCTCCTCAATCTTCTTGTCGATTGCTGTCTTGGATCGAGTGATCTTCTCGATTGCCTGATCGATCTCTAGGCATCTGCCTTCATCTTCTAACACAACTTTTCTAGAGTCAAGGAGATTGACGTACTCCTGAGTCCTCTGATCCAAGAAACCGTACTCTCCTCTCTCTTTAGTCAATGCCAGCTTCAAGTGATCCTCTTGTGCAAGCTCTTCTAGCAGTTCATTCGCCAATATATAGAAAGCTTGCCCTTCTATGGTAGGCTTCTTCAGGACCTCGTTGATATCAAAGTCCAGCCTTATATCCTTGCCAAGATGAAGAGCTATCTTCTCGTTCTTGACATCAATGATTGCTCTGGCGGTTGCAAGGAATGGCCTCCCAAGTATAATCGGATCCTTAGGTTCTTCATCCATTTCAAGCACAACAAAGTCGGTTGGCACGTTCTCACCGCTTACCCTCACTGGAAGATCCTCTAGCAAACCCACTAGAAGTCTCACGCTTCTTTCAGCTAACACAAGGGAGATCCTACACTCTTTGAACCGTGTGAAACCTAGCTTCTTTGGTATAGAATGGGGCATCATATTTATACTAGCACCAAGATCGCATAAACAGCTCTGAAATGTTAAAGGACCAAAAGCACATGGTATAGTGAAGCTTCCTGGATCTCCCAACTTCTTGGGGACTATCTCCTTGTGTATAATGGCGCTACATTCTTCACTAAGCACCAGCACTTCCTTGCTTTCCTTCTTCTTCTTTGCAAGCATGTCCTTGAAAAATTTAGCACACTTAGGCATCATCGCTAGGCAATCCACAAGGGGTAGCTTGATCTCTACGTCCCTTAGATGCTTCTCAAACAAGAGCCTATGCTTCTCTATAAGTTGTTTCTTGAAGCGGCCAGGAAAAGGAAGCTTGGGAACATAAGGTGGAGGTATGTAGTTATCTTTCTCCTCGGTTGCTTTCTCCACTTGCTTCTCTACGGCTGCTTCTTTGCCCTTTGTTGGCCTCTCTATCCACACGTTGTGGAAGTTGATCTCATCATCAGCCGAAGGTTTACCCTTCCCCTCTTGAACCACAATGTCCTCATTGGCTTTAGGTGCAACCCTCGGTGGAAGTTCTTTCCCACTTCTTAGTGTGATAGCATTGGCGTATTCCTTGGGATTT